CCTCGCAGTGTATGAATTGTGTGCACCGGGCCTCTAGTTAGTTTATAAGCTTTATGCCATAACATTATTTTATTTCTGTGAATAAATAAATTAGCTCTATTTCTTATACTGAATTCATAGTTATGTGAACCTACTATAAAATTGCTGTATACTTTTTTCCATTTACTTTTTTTTAATTGCCTTTCAGGTCATTTGATAGTTTTGCTTTATTATTATTATTTTGTTGTTGTTTTAAATACTTCTCCATCATTGAGGGCATTCAAAGACTTTTCCAGACATGCCCATTACCTTACATATGGTAGGTGTTTTATAGCTATGAATTACCACTAGTTTAGGAGCCCCTATGTAAGCTGGGTACTGAGTCTTTGTATATTTGGCACCTGGTCTAATATCTGGCACACAATGTCTGTTGAGGAACTATTTGGTGAGTGAGTCATTTGTTTCTCATAGATGAGGTCATAATTATTTCTATCAAGGTTTCATGGAAAAGAACCTGGAGGGAGTAGAAGGTAAAAATGTAGAAGAGATGTACACAAAGCAAATCTTTTTTTTTTAATTAAAAAAAATCCTTTAAAAATTGTGGTAAGTCTTGCTTTCATGGGTTATAGAATAACACCAGGGAATTTATATCACTGGGTTAGATAGAAGAGCATTTTAAAAAATGTAATTATATCATACTTAAACCCTCTTCCATAAAGGATTTGAGATGGCCTGCAATAAGAAAAGACAAAATTACAAATTTGAATAAAAAATTAAGGAACTGAGACCAAAGACAATGTAAAGACGATTAAAAGTCAGGACTGCTCTGGCCGGTTTTTCTCAGTGGTTAGAGCATTGGCCCATGGACTGAAGGGTCGCGGGTTCTATTTCCAGTCAAGGGCACGTACCTTGGTTGCAGGTTCCATCCCCAGACCCAGTCAGGGCACATACAGAAGATAACCAATCAATGTGTCTGTCTCACAACAATGTTTCTCTCTTTCTCTTCCCCTCCTCCCTCCCTTATACTCTCTCTTAAAAAAATAAATGAAAAAAATATTCTTGGGTGAAATTTTTTAAAAAGTCAGGACCATGTTCCTGTTTTCTATTGCTGTATAATGAATAACCTTAAAACTTACTAGATTTGAATCACTATTAATACTTCTCTTGTTTCTGGGAGTTGCCTGAACTTAGCTGTACATCTTCCACTGTATTCTGGTTGAGGCAGTCCCAAAGGTCAGCTGAAGTTCAAGGGGAGGGAACACAGGCCCCACCAATGGGAAGAGTGCAATATCACATAAGAAGAGCATATGGGATGAGATATATTGAGGCTGCTATCTTTGAAAGCTATAGCCTGCTACATCATAGGAGAGAAAAGAGGACAAATATATGCATTAACTTCTTAGCTGAATTTTTAATTATTTTCTTAAGTTACATCTTAGTCCACCTCCCATAAGTACATATTCTCCAATAACCTTTATGAACCTCTTTTTTTTTTTCTTCATTGGGTCAGCACAAGCCTTTTTTATCCCCCAAACAATAGGCATTAAATAGTTGAATTTGAACATCCCTGAACTGCTGTAGCTAGAGGAGCTATGTAATCATGTTAGAGTCATGGTGTCCACATTTCAGACTAAAAGGGAAGTGGGAGAGGAATGTAATTAGAGCCTGAACTTTGATCAGAAATTACTCATTCCCTCCCAAAAGGAATATGACATCTTTCCCATCACCACAGGACAACAAAGAACACAAAAACTACAGCTCAGAAACCATATGTACAGGGTGTGGCAAAAGTAGGTTTATAGTTGTGAGTATGGGAAAGTTTATGGTTGTATTATTATTTATTGTATTATTTTCCATATGAACAACTATAAACCTACTTTTGCCTCACCATGTATGTTTATGTATGTATATGTATTTATTTATTTTCCGTGGCAGCAAGAGATTGGTAACCACCCAAATTCTAGATGATACACAAAATAAATGGGTAGTGGCAGTGATTTGGGAGGGAAACATGCATAGAGAAGAGGCGGGAGGGTGAATTCTCAGTGTATACTTTATACCATTTTTATTTTTAAACCCTTTGAATACAATCCAAAAATGAAATAAAATTTAAAAGCTGGATTAAGAGCAAGCACATAGAGCATACTCTCCAAATAGTAATAAAGTAATAGGGATTCTGCTATAAAGAAATGCAAGATCAGCATGGAAGAAAAACTACATGAGCAGCACAGGGACAAATCAATAGAACTTTGAAAAGGTATACACTTAAAGAGGAGTATTCTCTTATCTATACCTGGGTTGAGGTTTTCTCACTAGTTCTGGGAACATTCCTTCTTTGCGGCTCCTGTGAGCTAATGAAAAGTGCCAGCAAGCAGTGTGTTATTCATTTCCTCGGGGAATTTCCACAGCCCTGGGTCTGTTCCTCTTATGCAGACTGACCATCAGCTTTTGTCAACACACTGGGAATGGATCTGTCTCAGGGGCTGACTCAAACCAC